TCCCCTCCGCTCTCACAACGCTGCTCATCTCTCTGTTCTCTACCAACATCGCTTTGATATCCTTAGGAAACAGTGCATATAAAATAAGCAAAGCATTCAGAAATACTGCTTGGCAAAGTCACACTTACTTCACTAGTTACAAATCAGCCAAATATAAATGCAATTTTTCTGAGAAAGGACACTGGGTCTGACCCACAGCATTTGCTCGTGTGGGTGATTCTCCATAAACGCATCTCAATGAAACCAGCTCCACACCTGTTCTATAAAATCCAACCTCAAATGCATTATCATGTGGGGGTATTCTGAGGTTGAGCTACCCTCCACTGTCAGCATAAAGACACAAGATGGAGCTAAGTTCAACCAGCTTCTTCAAAATATACTTGTTTTTAAAATTCTGCTCCAACTACAGCATGTGGCCTTACTTTGGTGAAAAATCCTTATGCATAGCAGTCCCTTTCTCCCCTTCCTTCTCATTGAAGGCTAGATTACTCATGTCAGCATGGGCTACCTGTTCAAGTCAGAGTGGTTTCACTGGGTTTCAGTATTGGTTTTAAGATAGGCAAAAGCCTCCGCAGTCCCATGAGAAGCAAAGCGGTCAATTTCTTACAGTTTTGTATGCAAAAAGGGAACTGCACAGACACTACTGCCATACAGGTTTGCACAGGCATCTGAATTTTTTTATGGTATTAGTACAGTGACTACTATTACTACTATTAATCCTTCCAAACCCTTTGTTAGAAAAAGGCCTGAGAAACTCATGGCACATTTTCAACACTAACAACAGTATCATAAAGGAAAAGACTGTCTGTTCTTATGCACTGAAAAATCAAGATATTTTTTGACCACTTGAAATTACTTCTAAAGAAGTTATATTTTAATATTCTAGACCTTTACAAAGAGTTCAGTCAACAGTTGGGGTGACCAGAGCTCAGGGATTTAGGTTTTTCTGTGCAATGCAGGCTCACTTTGTTTCCTGCCTGCACAAGGCAATGACACTAATCTCTGAAGATCACTCACAACCCATAACAGGCAAAGGGACCTTCTATCCTTCCCGTCTAGCTGAGAGAAACTTGGATGGAGCCTCTCTACACTTCAGTGGTTCCCAGCTGCCTTCCTGACCCGGGTGGGCTGGTGGCAGCGGCAGATGATGTAGACAGCAGTTTCTGGACTGCTCCATCCAACGCTGGGCAAACAGCCTCTATTCAGGCTGCTGAGAAGCAGGATGGTCCTTTTACTCCTTCACGCTCATACTGACACTGTGGCGATAAATCCTGCTTAGGACAGGGAGCCTGATATAGTCAGTACTCATAACAGAAGTGGTGGTAAGTTGATTATATACATGAACAGTTTGCAAAGCCACATCCCTTTTCCTCAAACAGAAAGTTGCACATTTGACTCAAAGTCTATTTTCATTGACTTCAGTATTGGCTATGATCATGTGGAAAACCAAAACCTTATTATGCAGGTATCTAAACAAACGCACCCTCATCTGCAAATATTGGCTTCACTTTATCCAAATAATCAGACTTACTGACATTTTATAGGAAAATTATCTCTATGGAGGATTGTTCACATGAATATATATATATATATATATATATATAAAATTTGCTTTTTTTTATCCTTTACTACTAAGGATTTAATTGTATGGTTCAGGATCTTTCCCATGAAAGCACCCTTCTGCATCAGTGGAGATATTTCCTTTGACACTCTAAAGCTCAGTGAAATACCCACAAGAGCCCGAAAGCTACACAAAATTCACCTTCAGTTTCCAACGTAGTATTGGAATTCTTTCTATATTCACTGAAAAGATCATCGAAAGTCACAAATTTGGATGTACTTAAGGATATATGAAGCTTTTTTCATCAAAGTTCATGTCCAAGTACTCCCAGTAATAGCAGAAGTGACATTTCATTTCAGAAGAATGTTTTCATGTTGTTCTCCCCTAGTCACAATTAGTAGCTACCATCATTTTAACAGCTATTAGCAGTGGATACATGAATAGTTCTACCAGCTACAAAGTAATAGGCTGAGATTTTTGTAGTGGACAACGTTATAATAATAACTGCAAAGGATCCGGAGTCATAAAAAGGCTGATTAGAGATACAGGCCTCATAAAATCTCCATAAAATGACTCCCAGGGTCTCAGTGAGGTCCACGTCCACACTGGATTCACATTTTGCAACATCTCCTCTCACTAGAAAGGACAAAATTAAATCCTGGATTTGAAAATGCTGAAAAGTTTGGGGTATTTGGCTTCCTAATCACAATCAAAATTATAAAAATGAGGCCCATCTTTAGGCAAGGACAAAGGAAGAAAAGGACTGGTAAAGGAGAAAGAAAATCAATAAGATAAATAGATTTTTCTAAGCAGGCTGTATTAGAGTTTTCCATGAGGTATCAACTATTCTTTAACACACAGCTGTGTGGAACTTCCTATTAAAAAAACTTTGTAAAGACATCTCATTAAATGCAGGGGGGTTGAATATTGTAGAAAACAGCTATAGTTTTGTTGTATTTAATCCATTTAAATTTAATCCTGATCCAGTATGAAACAGCAAAATACAAAATATAAAAAATAAAAGAATAGGGAATTATAATGGAAAGGCCAGCTCAACCTTAGCTATAGCAGTAATACCAACATTACTAGAATACAACAATTATAAGCAATACTTCAATAGGTATGTATAATAGATACATTTAGTGCTTGATATCTGTGGTAGACCAGTTGCTCAAGGCCACTAAAATATTAATTTACATCCAACACCAGCTAAATGTGCAAGAACCTCAATTCAATTGAGCAACAGTGGAAATTTCCATGCACTGTGCAGAATTCATAGGCTGAAATAAACTTTCAACTTTGGAACATATTGCTAGCCTGCCCTTTATCAGTGGAAAGACCAGAAACTTCTATGCGCATCCTGGAGGTATGTGGTTTAATCTGTGGTGCTGAAAAAGAAAAGTCATCAAAGACAACCTTGAATAAAATTGCAAAGGGACAGACCATTATGCACTCTTTTCTCTGAAATCCTCAGAGTAATTCACGTTTGAGGGCTTGGTTTTCTGCACACTCTTTGGATATCGTAATTTTGGCCTTCATTACAGGGTAGAGGTTATATTAAATAATATTTGGCTTGCTTTTTTATTATAACAAATCTGCATGTGATTTTGTCCAGTAGAAATTAAAAATGTGACGCTACATACTGGCATTGAGGTTGAGTTTGGTCAACCACATAAAATAATACTTTGCACTTTTAAATGCCTTTCATCAGAGGATATTCAAGTGCTTTGCTAACATTAGTCAAGCCTCACAACACCCCTGTGAGGTAGGTAAAATACATAGGAGGAGGAGGATTTCACTCAACTTGGACATGATAATGTCTCTGGGCATTAGGTTCACTAGCATTGCAACATAGCACAAAGGTTTAGGACTTACTATAAGGCAAAGAGTTAACAGTACAAGAGCACAGGATTCCTTCTTCTTTTGGTTATATGTGGTCAAGCTAACATGCGGTGCTACACAGCACCAAACAGTGGAGCAAAGCCCACACGAGGATTTCATGCACCCAATCCACAAACAGCACCCTCTGCACGGTAAAAGACACAAAATGACAGGCTCAAGATGGGTACGACAGCTTAGTTATGGGATGTGTCTACCAGTTCTTGAGGAGCAGAGTACCATGGGAATGACAGCCCAGAAAGCAATACCATCTCCACACAACTCTGATAGTATTTGAAGATGCTTGGGTTTGGCTTTTTTTGCACTAATGTTTCAATTCACAACTTACTGGGGATAAGCAACTGCAACCATAAAGCATGTTGGTAACTTCCACACCCTGTGAAGAAAACAACCAGATAAAATGGCTGTTCTCTACTTTGTCTGGCTACATGTTCCCAATGTACAGGGCCATGGTGTGGTCAGATGGTTTTGAAAGGCTGGGATGGAACAAAGAAACACTGTCGTACATGTACATTCCCCCTCTGAAGCTGCTGCAATCTGCCTCCTGAAAACTCTCTGTAGTTTTGTGTTGTTTTTTTTTTCTCCACGGTGCAAATATGGGGGAGTGTTTGGCCCCCATCAGTTTTATCCTCAACACTTAGCACCAATGGTGCAGCTGGTCATTGTACAAGTAGCAGTTCCACTGTATCACTGATCTTTCAGATTAAGGATTGAGAAAAAAGAAACAAACATATGATTAAGAAAAGCGTCACTCAACAGTCTATGTGAAATACAAGGAAACAGAAAGAAAACCATGTTCTCAGTATTAGCCAGTACAAATAAGCACAGACACATCCCACTCTTTCTCCACATTTCACTTTTCTAAGTTGGCAGAAATCGTACATCCCATATTTGCAAAAGTATTGCCCACATGGAGAATCTGACCTGCCTATCATAATAAATCCCTACAGACGCCAGTCTACCACATGCAACACAGCCCTCTTGGTTAATTTTATGTCTTAGCATGCAAGGTATTCTCCCTGTTTGCTAATTTCCGCTTGAATCCTATGTTTATTGATAATACTTCTGCACTATCAGCTGCAAAACTTACTACTGCACAGGTTGGGTGACCCATCGTGAATACCACTGCCTTATAAAATTGCTGAGAAGAGGTGGTTCATGGATTCTGTGCAGTCAATGCAAAGCTCCCCTCAAACACTGCATACGTTCACAGCTAAAACTAAGATGTATATCATTATAATGCATGGATGATATCCTTCTCTCTCATTCTCATTTTGTCTCCCCCCTTTCTCTCTCTCCTCGCTCTCTATGCTGCTTATTTCAATATGGGAATATGGAGACTGCAGATGCAACAACTGGCAACTCAAGAAATGAGCTGGCATCTTTGTAATCATTAAGAGACAATCTGAGTGGTAGACTAATTGGCAGCTAGCAGGAAAGCTGACTTTACATCTCATACTGCCCCAAGCTGGAAGCCTTCTGCATTTCCTTTTCCTTCCTTTCCTTTTGCTCGTTGCAACACTGATTGTCATAGATAGTCTTTGTGCTTTGTATAATGCCCATCTTTGATGTAACTGGAACTCACATACAAAATGTGGCTGTTATACATAAGCATGCTAGAATACAGGCAGGGACGGTACAAGCATGCACAAAATAGTCTTTGAAGTGTTTTTGTTTGTTTTTCTTCAACAATTACATGCACCACTTAATATCATGTTTGGCTGTGTACACTGAAGACTGCACTTCACAAGCGTTCATGATCTTTTCGTCTGAAAAGCTTCTTGACAATTTCACAAGAGCCCAGCGTAAAAAAAAAATCCCACAATTAAAAAAAAGGAAAAAAACCCTTCTCCCTGCAATCTCATCTTGTCTTCATTATTTTAATGTTGAACACTTTTAAAATGTCTCCTCTTCCTCTTGCAGAACTTCATGTTAAATGGTCAGCTGGAAAGACAGATTAGTGTGCCAAGGATTTTCTTAGCCACTGGAATAGTTCTTCCTTATAAAGCCTTTGCCACCGCACATTGGCTTCCACTGTTTCCATGGCACGAGAGAATGAGGCAGCAGCTCCCTCTTCATAACTCTTTATAAAGTTCTTTAGCTGGAAATACAAGTTAACAGGTTAAATTTGCAGGAACTAAAGAAAGTAAATATTTCCAGTGCACAAAAACAAGTCAGGCATTTAGGACAAACCTCCATGATCACTGTTGAAGTAAATGTAGTATGGTGTAGAAAGATTTAACAGGAAATGTAATAAGACAGCAGACTGTCAATTATATGTGATGCAATTTCTTCAAATTGCACTGGAAGATATTGACATGTCAGTGCTGGATCACATTAATGTCATTACCTCCTTCTCTCCTATAGCCCAGCTGCTGCACTGCACAGACAGCTGGGCTGCTCTAAACTTTTATTTCTACCTAGGAAACCAAACTGGGAGCACTGGACATGCTTCTAATTCAGGTTTATATGCAAATATCAGCAGAAGGCAGCCCTGATGCCCTTTTGTTTTATCAACCTTCATAACAAATTTATTTCCTTTTGATTTGCAGAACCCTTTTGATGATACAATACAGGTCGGTTGTTTAGAAAAGGAAGGGATGGTTACAGTGTGAAGGGAATGGCAAAATAGCAAGTGGGCCCTCATTTGATGATCTTTGAATGCTTGAAACAGATTCCTTCCTTTATGAGAAATTTTTGATCTTTTTTCAGCAGACTGAAAAGGCCCCTGCTCTGTTCTTGCGTATACTCAAATTATAGTACTATCACCTGGATTATTACAGCTGATGCCACTGGTGTGCTTTGAATTACTGTTCTTTTTAAGTGAGAAATGCAAGGCTGATATGCACAGTAGGTTGTTGGTTATGTTGACTTGTATAAAATCAGGTGGTTTTAGCAACACTTATTCATAACTAATTAATTTTTTGTTTCCTGGTGACACCAAATTCACCTTGTTTATTTAAATCTAACTTTCAACAACATCTCTTTGTGCATGGGCTCAAAACTGAAAAGGTTGATCCTGCAACTATCTCATTCCCATCACAGTTAAAAGCACGGGAGGGACCTGGAAACTATCGAAATCAGCCCTTAACTGATCTTTGTACTTTCTATACCAAAATGTTTACATGGCCAGTTTCTTTTAGGGGAAGTATAAACAAGCAGCCTTCCAATGCTATCATGGAGGTGGAAACTCGGAGTACAGAAGGCTTCCTTGTGCAGTACAGATACTCAAATCTGACCAGCACTGTCCTTCCCACCTGAGTAGCTTTGAGGAAACCAGCTGCAGCTCTTTCTTAAGTTCCTGAGGCCACTAGACTTGAGTGCAGACAAATGGTTGGACACAAAATAACCTAGTGCAATCAGAGTTCAATTAATGGTGATTATGCTGCATAAGAACCATTTGATCCATTTGGGGTAATGTCGAGGAGCTGCTAAGCAGAGCATGACACAACTGCACAACTACCTCAGTCAGGGCAGATGTTAAGTTAAAATGATAAATCTTTGAGATCTAAATAAGAAGTACTTTAGCATTTAGAACAAATTATTGTGGTGTCATTTGGCCAGAATATCAGGTTAACGGCTTTTCTCTCATGGAAATACTGTAGGCAAAAGAAAAACAGAGAAGGCACTGGCAGCTTCTACTTTCAACACTGGGTTTTTTTGGGCTGCCCTCTGCAGCATAAACTAATGTGGACAGAAAGATCTCATCTTTACTTTCTCAATCAACAGTCAAGAGAAAAAACCCAGACCTACATATCCAGCCAAGCACAGAGAATTGCCTGCACTACCCACCTCCTGACACCACCTCTAACCACTTGGGTGCCTTTGCAATCTGCTCCTCATCCTCCTGCTGCTGAGCTGCAGCACGGGCCTGCGACTCCAGCTGAGCAACCAGAGTTCATGGACAACTGACACCTTATTGCTCCTGCCCCGCTCCCTGCTTACAACAAATACAGCCTCACATGGTGAAAGTCATTTAAACATTACCTCTCTCAGTTCTTCTTCGGTATTGAGGAATTCTGTGACCCCACTGATAAGCTTTGAATTCATAAATAATGCTTCTCCATACCTGCAAGGGCAAAAAGAAGATGCACAGAGACTTAGTGCAAGTGCCAGGCCAGCTGAAAATTAGAAAGTAGTCTTCTGTAAGCAAGGGAGAAGACATGAGACCGATTCTGGGGATCCAAGGGAATAGCACTGGAATTGGACACGCGTATTGCAGTGTTTCATGCTAAAAACCTGGACTGAGACATTCTTCTAGGCTGAGCTACTTGTAGTTAACTTTTACTTGGATGCTACTAAGCAGAATGAGCTTAACTGCAGCCACAGATAAGAGCTCCAGAGGAGGAGAGGACCAAACCACAACAACACCTCATGCTTAACAAAACAGCTTTCCGTGTAATGACATGAAGCAGCTCAAAACACAGGCACCAAAGAAGGAGAGGAGCAGCAGCTATGGAGAAGTATTCTGAGGAACCCTTCTAGCTGTACTATTAAAACAGACTTTTTGAAGTGCTGCAGCCTTCTCTGCATTTTATACTCATCCACCTCATCTACATTACAAACAGCCTCTAGATAAGTGAACTGAATCAAATTCTCTTGTTCCAGTACCTGATAATTAAAATAAATTATACTGATAGAGAATAATACTGCTAAAATAATCCCCTGGGCCATGATGCAGCATCTTCAAAGAACCAACCTGGAATGAAAATTTGAAAGCTTGGGCAAGGAATATTTAAAGGCCAATGTATAACAGGGTAGGATATTCAGTGGCAATCAGCAATGACCTTCTGCAGGTAGTTGCTTTGAAACTGGCTATTCAAATCCTGCTGTTCCACTTGCTTTTCCACAAGTTTTTTTCAATCCCACAAATGAAGCATCTATGTCACTTATAAGATTAACCAGACTACTCCTGAAGTTTTGCATTTCATGTCGGAATAGTTTGTGGGTTTTTTTTCAAAGAAGAATGTATGAAGAATGTAATTCCATCGGAAACCAAAAGCAAGTCTTTTGTGCAAGTTAGATGTCATACAGCATAGCAAAAGGCACTTGACAAATAGTTATCCTTATCTTTATCTGCACATATATCCAAAGCAATATCTAGCTAATCTGAGCATGACTTTTTTTAAGATAGGGAATCCAGCTCTCCTGTCAGACATCTGTAAGTAATACCAATAGACTTCACTGCAATTAAATTCATCTCAGGGAAGAATTCAGTTCATACCCCACTTTTACAAACTGATTTACAGGAGGAATTCAAAATTCAAAGTGAAATAAACTAGCCCAGTCACAGCTTTCTGTTCTGCTTCTATTAATCGTAAATTAATTACCCTTAAATGCTTAGGTACTGTAAGCTACAGTCCTTTCAAAAGCAAAAAAGAAAGAGAAAGGAAGAGGGACAGCCCCAGGGAGAGGGATAGCAAGAGGGAGAGAGAACTGGTTTTTTTGAGAAGATTCTGTTTTAGGGAAGGTGTACAATGTGTTGCTTGCTACCTTGAGCTTGTGTGAAGGGAAACACAGTTATAGGTATCAAAAATCCTACTCCCTGACTACTAATAACTGAATTATTCATGGATATTTCAGCAAGTACATCTCTTTTTCCAAAACTTCAGTCACACTGACATATACAGACATCCAGAGGCAAACGCCTCCTATGGGAAGTTTGGATTTCATGGTCCTTTAAGCACGGTTAGGCTTTCTAACAAAGTCCTTTATTATTACAGTCTCAGCTTAGCCTCATAATTGACTGCTTGGAAAATTGGAAGCTCCTCTTGATGGGGTCTTTTGACAAGGTTACCAATCCACTTTACAGAAGCAACCTCATAAAAACAGCTGCAGGGATTTTATTTTTCTTGCAGTCTGTACTGTAGCCACAGTGCAAACAAGAAGCAGTAGAATTCCTTCCACTGAAAATGATGCCTTCATGAATACCTGTGCTGATTACTGCCCATTATGCATAATTGGTAAAAAGTCAGCCACTAACAGCAATTTCTAAACGGGCTCTGCTGGCAAAAATTCTAGAAAAGCCACCTCCCAAAATAGTATTTTGCAGGTGTGAAACTTAAGAATAAATAGAAAAAGTGTTTGGTCTTGCAAGTATCAGTCTTTCCACCCTTCACAGGAAAGACAATAGCAGTGCAGAACCAGGACCATACATGCCTGAGCTCCTTGGAAACACCCTGGGGTCATGGGCTCTCCACCTGCTCCTTTACTTCAGGGGATGTGAACCTCCCATGTGTACAGGCTTTGCACTTGGGCAAACTCAACTTGAGAGGCAGCATAGTCCATTTACTTTGGACAGATGTAAATGGCTTCCAAAATATTGTCAAATTCCCATATGCTGACAAATGATTCAGCACTTGAGAATGAACAAATTCTTATAGGCAGCTGTTGGATTAAATTTTCACACACAGACACACACGTGCACACACAATGAAAATGATTTAGGAGTCAAGGTAGTGCACGCTCAGGTAACAGGAATTCAAGCATAGTATTTTCAATTCTCTTTTTCAGAATTTTAGCAGTCTTAGTCCCACAGATTTCTTACAAAATACTTGTTAGGCACTTCAATTTCTAAGTCACCTTTGTAAATAGGATATGAGTGATTTTGAAGACTTTATACATTATCAGTATCTTCTGGACAATGTAAATACAAGCATACTGTAAAAACATAAAGGGATAACAATATTCTGTTATCATTCTAACTCTTTGACATGCTGTGTTTTAAAGTTAGAGGAAATAGCGTTATAGTGTAATTTAATCACCCTCAGCTATTTCATATTACTATCCCAAATGTCAACACCTTTTATAATAAATTCAATGGAAAATACCATTGAGATATCACCTTATTAAATTAACGTTTCGCACAAGTATTTTAATTTTAACTAAAATTAAATAATGAATTATAATTGTAGAAAAAAGATGCCTTGGGACAGAGTATACTTGAATTATTATTCCACAATAAAGCTTGTATTTTAAAAATGTACTAGCGTGGCAAGCTTAAATCAGAAGCCTAATTTTGCATTCTATCATGTCACTGTTTCACTGAACATTAAGGGGCAAGGTGTTAAGACTAATTCCACCCTCTCAAAGTCTCTCTTGAAAGATATGTACAGCTTGCATGAACTATTTCATTCCACTGCATTGAATCTTTTGGCAGTTGATAGAAACTCAACTGGATGTCCCTTTCAGAAAAATGCAACTGCTACAATCCTTTTTATGGTTCTGACTTGTGTTTGGAGATCAGATTGAGTGTAGATAGTATAAAGTCAGTGTTGGGCAAAGAGACAGACTCTCTGTTATTTTGTTATTTTCTCATTAAAAAAAGGACAACAACAGGTTTTTGATGAGGCCTCGATGATTGTTAGGAACTCAGGTAACACAGCAAGTGAGATAAATAAAATTAAAATTTTAGGTGAAGTTAAGCTATTTAAAATTAAAACACACAAAAAATTTGGCATGTGGCTTATTTTTCTAAATCTTGTCCATTTGCCTACACTGCTAGCCTTGTCCATATCTAAAATCACAGGTGTTAGCCAGGTTGTAAGATGAATGTACTTGCTAAGGCAGGACACAACTTCTGCATATGTGTTTGTAGCAATACAGATTTTGACAGATTTATGCCTAAACTCTGTATAAATCCCGGGAGGAACCTGAAAAAGTATTTGCTATCCAGAGCGTAACTAACTGCACTGGGTTGAATACCAGTAATGGGTCTACCACCCGCTTTCTGTGTAAAAGTCCAGTTTCTGGAATAATCATACCAGAAGCAGAGGATTCTTAATTTTTAAACCCTTCAGGACTTTTAAAGCTTTTTGGAAATTGCTTTCAAAAAGCATGCTCCTGCGATATGAACTTCCAAAACCAATTCCAGCTCAAACCTATTTTCCCAGCTGAACTTCTTCTAAAATCCCACCATACTATAAAGTATTATCCAAAACAGCATGAACAACTTTTTGAATCTTTAGGAAAGTTCCACAGTCTCTGAGTTTCCTTGACTCTTCTTTTGATGCTGTGAAACCTATAGTAAGTTTGTACCTGTGTTCATCGGGCACTAGGATTTAGTTGTTTAACTACAGGATCTGAAATATACCATTTCAAATTTTCTGTGGTACACTAGATGGCTCCTCACAAGTCCATAATGGAACAGATCTCCAATACTTTTTCTGCCAACACCATGGGAGCGGCCTGGCGTTGGGTGTCTGAAGTCCTTAGACAGCTGCCTTTAAGAACTTGAACCTCATCTGAGTTGTGGTCCCTTCTAATCCGTCAGTATCAGATGAGCTGCTGTGGAATCTTTCAGACCCTCAGGCTGTCCTTAAAGAACTGAAGAAATTTCTCATTCATTGAACTAATACCAAAATCTTCATCAAAAAAGGATTTTAAAATGTTGACTGGGCTTCTGAGTAGGAGCATGTAGCACTTGTTCAAAGAGAAAGAGAAGTACGTATAAGGAACAGTCCTGTCTCCTTCCTGTTCATCTATTTTTAATTCAAAATGTTGCTGCTCTATTACTTGAAACTCACCTGAAACACAGCATGGAAGGAAAGGGGATGATACTATACTAGCATTACCTTTTGAAAATGGAAATGTTTCAAAAAGGGTTTGGTGGTTTTTTCCACAGTTGAAATAATGTTCTTGAAAAGATTTTTTTTTCTATCAGACTTAAAATCAGCAAAATTCCTTTGGGAACCGCTGCTTTTTTATCTATGTAAAAGTAGAACTGCAGCACTTGACATACAGATAGAATTCATTACCATAAGCACAGACACAATACAGTAATAGATATATACACAGATGATCGCTAAGAGATAAATGTTTCTATGCATGTGTGTGATAATCCATGAATAAATGCATTTATGACTCATGTGTATGTATTTCATATTTAGAGACATCTATATTTACAGATTAAAAGAGAATGGACTAGATTCAGGAACTTACATGAATACATACATATACAATACTTACATGAATTACATAAAAATAAGAAAATGAAAATAAAATTAGACTTTTTAGCTTTACCTAGCATTTAATATTTTCCATTTTTCTCTGAAAAACTTCCAAGCAAGATCCCTTCCATGTGGATTTCGAGCTACGTGGATTATCACATCAATTGCATCCTGATCCAGGACAACTTCAGAGTTGAGAGACAAATTCAAAAGCCTAGTGGGAGAAACAAGGAAAAAAATCATATTTAGTTTCACCAACACACAGTCTAACAACAGCGCATCAGAAAACTCTCAGGAAAAAAACAATCGCTGCAAATGGTTTAAGTCTCCAAGTCAGTTCAGTGGTTTATTTCTATGATTCCAAAGACCAGACATATTTATGAATCAAAAAAATCTTGATATAAAAGGATTTCAGTAAAAGCTGAATGGAACTTTATATATGCATTTTTATTAAACCAATAAGATCAGACTGGTCAATACATGCCAATAAAGGATACGCTAACAAAAAAAATAACAGCAATTATTATAGGATTTCAAACATTTCCAATGAACACAGGAAAATTTGGAAAGGAAAAGACATAATATATGTCAATTTTCATATTCATTAATGCAAAAACATAAGACAGTTTAAACAGACAGTAAGCCTGTGCTTGAAATGCAAAGTTCTTTCATTTAAACAAAAGCTCAAGTGTTGATCCACAAATGTTGAAGTGATTATTGGTAATAGTCAGATACAGATATATAATATTTTTGTACCTGTTGAGCAAGTTTCTGTCATCACTGCAAGTTAAGGCTTCTAATAATATTTTCTTCTCAGACACTGCTGTGGTAGAATGAAATTTCATCCAAATGAACTCCCATACATCTTCATCCATCAGTGAAACTCCTGTGCAGTAGACAATGTCTCTCACATTGAGTGGGATTCTACAAAAGAAATCAGTAATAGCATCGTGGTAAATAAGCAGCCTCCTGATATTGGAAACCAGGAGGAACATCACCATGAGACTCTAAAATTAAAGTGCAACAGTAATCTTGTTTTGGAAAATTACATTTGCATCTCTTTACTGCCACCAAAATCTTCCAGGCCATCCTAATGGATTTTCTAATGGGTAACACATGCTTGCCATTCTTTCATAATGCTGTCACATTGTCAGAAGACTATAAATTATGGTCATCCAGTTCATCAACACATAATGTGCCACATAACCTGCAGGACAGCTAACATAAGCTCTCCAAATTAGCACGGGATCTTATCACTCTGTTGCTGGGCTCTAAGCCAAATCTCCTCTTCTTGTCCTTAGTACTGAGGTTTTAGAACAGGAGCTGATCAGCCAGAAACTCCTCCTTGCTTGTGCTGTAAAGTGCTCCATCTTCAGATAGTAACATACAAGTAAGGATGTGCTGAGACAATGCTACTTAAAAATGGTGTTTTCAGGAGTGAAGAAAAAAGACAATTCTGTTTATTTTTTTAGCATATTAATACCAGTACAAAACCAGCTATGCCATAGGCTGGTTGTGAACTGTGATTACTGCTCAAATAATATAAACTCAGACTACAGTTAAATGAAAGCTTCTTGAAGCCAAATTCAGACCTAGTATAGGATGTGCATAGGTACCATTTTCTTCTAAAAAGATCTCAGCTGGGCATTCAATTTCCTACCCTGCTTATGTTTCCTATACAAGCATAGAAGCTGAAACATTTGTGAGCTAAAGGGTATTCCTGCAGATAAAGCTAGACATTTCTCAGAGGAATACGTTTCTGATTTGCAGGAAAGAACACTCTTTTTGTTGGCAAAAAATATACCAAAACACAGTTCTCTAGTTACTAATAGCTGGGCTGAAACACCTCCGGAGCTTCAAACGCAAGACCTCTTTAGAGAATCTAGAAGTACATACAGCTGCTGTCAGTGCCTGGGCAGTAATACAGTAGGACAAAGAATGGTTTCTTAAGAAAAAGAATAAAAGGAATATGCAGCTAAGTTAAGGCAAAACTAGGGAAAAAAAAAGTGCACTCCTCATCCTACTGGCTGAAGAACTTTGGGGAATTAATGCCTACTGCTTCTTTGTTATGTTTTTTCTGAGTAGTAAAAAAGGCCTGAGGTTGAGGCTTTATTCATGTTCTCTAGCAAGTGTAGTCATCAGCTCAGAGGGGTGTATGTGCAAGTTTAGATGCAGTCACACGAATTTACTTCTGCTGAGGTGACGTGGCTCAGGATAGTGCTGTTTCTTGAAGATTTTTTAGCAGAGTCCCATACTAACAGAGCCACGAAGGGCTGCCTTGACTAGTACTGACGTATTTTGCATTTGATGCAGACAAACTCAGACATTTATTCAGGAGTAAACTCTCCAAGGCAAAACTGAAAGGGTAGGCAAGAGAAATGTAATCCATTTTAAAGTTGCTAGGAATATGAAACACTTAACTATGCGCAGCACACACCAGCAATATTGCCTTCTAAAGCAAAATCAGAGGTGCAATGTCTCAACTCTGCCATGAACTGCTACCATCTAGGCTGTATAGATTGGTACTACAGTGCAGATCCTGGCATGGTTCAAGATCTTACTATTTCTTCTCCTTCCACCACCAAATTGCTGTGTGAGAACTTGCCCATCCAGAGCCATGCCAGGCAATCAGCATTGCTACAGTTATGACCACATAGCTCAAGCAATTCCTATATGTCACTGACACATAGATGGGACCTCCAAAAAATGCAGGTACCACAGTTCCTCCTCCTTGATGCTTCCTATTATCTTCTTAGATCTTTTCCCTCAATCTTCAGATGACCTAAAAAGCTTGGCACTGAAAAAAGTTAGTACCTCTCCTCAGATTTACCCCGGATCAGTAGGTTTTGGCTTATGTATGGTCTATGCAACTGCTTCTGTGGTCCCTATAGAACTGCTACGCCAAGACCAAGGAAACCAGAAAATCCTTAAAGCTAACCAGATCCATTAAAAGAAATAGTGTTTAAACATACATGGGCAGTAAAGAAAAAAAGTTATCACTTTCATCAGCCTTCCCATAGTACTGAGTTTTGATTCACAAAAACTGAGTTAACATTAGTAAAATGTAGTTTGCTTGACATTTACAGAATTATCCATGTGTGCTAGGTGCTGAATTTCCATTTCACTGTGATGGAATTTGTACTTCTTACTTGAAAGTCTATCATTAAGCCCTTCTTGCGATATTTCAAACATTAATGAATATCAACAGTTTATTTTTCCCCCATTTAACCTTTCTTTCAAAAAGTGCATTCAAAGGAAACTGCATATAATTGAGTCTATTACAAAAAATTAAGACTACATATTTAAACACAAGAAATCAAGACATACTAAAATTAACGGAGCAGATATTTAGGTGGTGCCTTTGTGTTGGCTTATATTAACTCAGAATGAGGCTTAAAGTTTTAAATAACTGCAACTCTCTCAAAACTTCAGGTCAGCAATTACAGTAACATAAATATGCAGCCATATGCACATACACTGCATAGAACATGAAAGTGATATTAATTATTGTTGTGTCTTGATTTTCTGATACACTAGGCTATTTGTCCTTAAAGCACAACTTCCTTACCAGCTTATGTCTTTTTTTGCTTTTAATTTGGCATCTAATACACTGACAGAAGTCATAAGAACATATGCTAAACCAAAAGGGCTAAGGGATGTAATCCTGACTGGGACCAAACAACTTGTTGCGCCAAATCTGTCATATCATGTGATATCTGAATATGAAGAACAACTGAACCCAGTCAAGCCTTATTTCAATGAAGGAAGGACTTTATATCTTTACACACAAACATGAAATCTTTTTTTTTAGAAGCACACATAGTTCTTTCTGAGCTTTGCTGACAGAAATATTATCTTTGGTTTACTGCAAGAGATGCAACTCAACCAACAGATACTCTAAGGAACCATAAGGCATCTGGAAAAGGTAATTCTTTTTTGGTTGACTGGCCCAATAATTCAGGTAGGAATTGTGTGCTGGAAGAACGGTCACTCTGTGTTTGGCTAGTACAGTCAGCAGCAGAGGTACCTAGAAGTGGATGTCTAACCCCAGAAAGGTCAGCATTCCTCTGCTTGTGAGGTTTATATTTTCGAAATTTACAGAAAACATACCAATTCAATAGGCTTTCCTAGCTACTCCATCTCTTACGTTGGAAGTGCCAACACTAGCGATTTTAGCAGCAGTGCAGTCAGTAACCGCAGGATCATTTGCATGCTCTGGGAAGGAAGGAGGACTTAAGACAAGTTATGGCACTGATCCCATGTCCATAGCCTAGTTGTCACCATGTTTCTTGCTAAGAAAACTCTATTGCCACCAAATGGGTAATAGCATACTTGCAGTGCTGCAGCAGATCTACTCAATATCATCCAACCAATAGCTCCAGGGAAGGTTTTAGGTCCCTATCTATAAGATAAGTCATCAGGACAACGTGAAAAAAATCAGCCCCTACAAACCAAGACATCAAAACAAATACTGATTTTAAAAGGCTTAGCTTCAGAAACTACAAAACTTAGGGCTATGAAAAGCTACAAATTACTCCTGCGAGAGGCTTGTAATCAGGACTGTAGACAGGGGAGTTCTTCTTGTGGAAATGAAAATTGTTTATGAAAATGAGAATATCCCCAAAGTAATTTCTCTTTAACTATTGCCTCAACAGAGAGCCCTCTAATTGAATTTTCTCCATTTGTGAGTATTTTTGCTTTCTCTCTCCTCCAGTCATTATGGGCCTGTATTTCATCATTATCTAAACATGTGAAATCTCCCCAGTCTACAGATTTTTTAATTTTATAGCTTCATGGAAAAATGTTGTTCTAAAATTACAGTTCCGAGGCACTAGATCAGCACATGGAATGTTTGCCCCTGTACTAAGTGAATCAAGTGGATTAAATTACCATTGTTTCAGTACCACTTAGGTAATAACACTGCAGAACGTATCCCCTTATTATATTAAACCTCATGTGGGCCTTCAAGGCTGCTCTCATTTTTAAAAAGCTAATATGATTGATGGATACTTCAGAAGAATAAAGATTAACTTTTGAAAGCATCACTTTAAATGGCTTTTATTTGAATACTGATCCAATTTATTTAACTTTATTTTTCTTGCTTAAGAGATATGATGGTGAGAATGAAATATGTAGCTAGCAGAGCTCATGTTTAAAAATTAAACACTTTGGGAAAAAAGTTAAAAATTAAACAGTTAGAAAAAATTAATTAAAATCGTGCTGTGCCTTTACAGGGTTTTTTTTTTCAAGAGCGAATAATAAAGCTCTACAATGAGCTAAGAATAATCTTCTAAGTTATAATTAATTGGTACATACTTGCTCCTATTTAAAGTATGTTCTAACAATTGGAGATACACTTATAAAATTGGACCATAATTATTTATCTTCTGGGCAAATTGTGTTCTAATTTTTTAAAATGTAATTGCACACAGTTTAGACAGTTCTTTGATTAAGTGACAAATTTCAATACCATTTAGGGTACTATTTGACAAAGAAAATTAATCAGAAACATTATTTTTTATTTTTGCAACTATTTAACATTTAACTTAAGCCTATTTTTCTCGATGACGATACTTACAGTCTTGTTTAATAGGTTACAAGGCTCAGATAACAAAAAACAACTAAGTATCGGTACTTTGCTGGCAGATCTGTAATACAGATTCCGTTATAAGGAGCAGCACGACACAAAGTTTATTTTTTAAGACAGCCATCCCAAAGACTATACTCCCATTCTCTATTACAAACTCCAGGAGCCATGCTGCTGGCACTACTGTGCATACAGAGGAGGGGAGCATCCTCTGCCATAGCACATGCCCAGTCTGAAGAGAAAGGGCAGAATTTCCCCTTAAAAACTGAGGCATAGAGCTGTGATGGGCTTGACATTCAGGTGCCTGTCATGCATCGAATTCAGGGGATATTAACCA